TAATAACTAATTAATGAACATCTTCCAATAGCTATTATTGCTATCAGAGTATGGTTCATCTAACATCAAGAGAAAATCAAGCCAAGAATTCAACATGAGGAACACTTGCCACGGGACAGAAAGAGAAGTACAGAACGTACTAGATGAACTTCAGTTCCCAAGCACAGGCTTTTCTCTGTGTGTTTCAGCTCCCTCCCTGTACCAGGCTTATGCCACCGCCAGCTGCTGCCCTCCCCTCTCATCTCCTAAGAAATGTTTTGGATTATTATGCAGCACCCTGCTCAGCTTTTATGCAGGATGAGAGTAGGGGAAGACAGCACACTGCTGCTCTCAGGGGTGCAGACTCATGCACTTTTACCTTTGCCAGAAACCTTCCTGTCCTGTACAATAACAAATGGTGAATTGAGCAGTTCAGGCATGTTACGGCCGGTTACTGTCCTGGGCTTTCCTCCAGCCCTGCTCTCTGTCCCTCCGTCCGCCCGCAGCACAGCGCCCGCTGCTCGCCTTCTCGACAACTCGCCCGCAGGAGACCGTGAAGCTGCGCTGGGCGCCGGTTGCCCTCCAGGAAGGGTCTGGCCGGGCTGCGGCCTCCCTGCCGGAGGAAGCACGAGGGTCTTCGTCCTCCTGGCCCATGGGCACCGAGAGCCCCTACCTGGAGCTCGGCGGAGGGGTTGTTGCCGGTGCTGCTGGGCGCACTGCCAGCAACCTCCTGAGCTGGGAATGAGACGCTGTCTTCTTGCCTATTGCAGCCCCCTCCCCTTGCTCCATCTTTTCGGAAAAGCACGTCTATCCAGCAGCCGAGGCTTCAAGTTACTTCTCTCTTTTTTCAGCACAATTTCTGCGGGCATGAGCGGCTCTCACCAAGCCCTGACGTATGGTGGAAGCCCTTGGGCAGCACAAGGAAGGCTCTCTCTTCCCTGGGTGCAGGGGTGCTGGCTGGGTGCCTGGCAGGGCCGCGGCAGCGAGGTGCCCGGTGCTGCAGGTGCAGAGTTTGTACTGGCTGAAGGTCCCCCGCCGCCCGCAGCATCTGGCACCTTCTGCGGTCGCTGTAAGAAGCAGGCAGCTGGCTGGCGGGGAGCAGGGGGCTGCCTCTGGTGCTCAGACCTTGTCCCTGGTCCGTCCCTCTGGGCTGGATGCAGAGAGGTGTCCGGGTTGGTGAGGCCGACGCTGCACCATGAGGGCAGCTGCTCTGGGAGGTGCCCCAGAACAGACACAGTGGGGATGGCTGGGGGTGAGGCAGGGGGGGGGGCCGGCGGGGG